GAATATGATCTCTCTTCATTTCAGCCTTCTTTCATTTGTCTTAGTAATATTTTGCAATTCTTAGTGTAGAAGTCTTGAATATCTTGCTTTGGATTGGTCCATAGGTTTTTTGTTGTTGCAATTTTAACTGATATTTCTTTAGATTTCATTTTCCAATTCTTTGCTTGTACGTATATATACGCTTAATTTTTGTATGTTGACCTTCTACCTTGAAATCTTGCTCTAAATTCACTTATTAGTTTGGAAATTCCACGCGGTTTTCCATGAAGACAAGCAAGTAACGGAGAATGTACTTCTTTCTTTCCAGTCTTTATGCCTTTTATTTCTCTCTCTTTCCTTAGTGTGCTGGGCCATCTAGTGTGTTATTGAATAGAGGTGATGACAGTGGACATCCTTGTCTTATTCCAGATCATAAGAGAATGGGATGTAATGTTTCATCATTATGTTACTAGCTCTAGGTTTTTCATAGATGTCCTTTTTCAGATTGAGGAACTTGCTCTTTTCTATATCTAGTTTGCTTAAAGTTTTTAATCAAGGATATTACATTAACATTGTCAAATGCTTTTTGACATCAGTTAGGATAATCTTAGGGATTCTCTTAGGGATTCCTTTATACTGCAGATGAGGTGCTTGGTATTTTTAATGTTAAACCAGTTTCGCCCCTTGGACTAAATCCCACTTGATGATGATGTATTACCTTTTCTATATATGTTACTGGATGTGATTTGCTAATATTTCGATGAGGATTTTTGAATCTAGTAGTGGCAGACCTTTGTTTTGTATTAGGATCTTGGGCCCAAGCCAGTTTCTTCCTCCTGCTTCAATATCAGATAGCTTTTCCTTTACTCATCCTCAGCATCAGAGTACCTTTGTCTGGGACTGGTGGTGGCAATGTTTCCTGCCTTGCTGTAGCAGTAGACTGGTTATTATAACATGGAGAAGGGCTCGTTTTTGTATGGGAGGTGGGCAAGTAGGTTTGCCCCCTCCCCCAACAGCACTTTTGCTCTACTTTTCCTCTTGAGGAAGGGGATTTTTCCTTGGGCCCTGGATATTGGAGGCTTTCCTGTATTCTTCCTTCTGGTTGAAGGTTTTTGCTTCAGATGAGATGCCACTGAGGGAGAGGCGCTCGCTTCCTTCTCTTGCCTCATGCCAGTCTTTTTCAAGAGAACTCAGTTAAGGCCCTTGGAAAAGCACTTGCGAATAGGTGCAGATTAGATTCCCTTTCTGTCTGCATCTTCCAGAGATTCTTAACTGTCATCCTAGCCGACACTATTTACTTTTATCTTTAATATTTAGTAGGTTGACTATGATTATGTTTCCATTGCATCTGTGTGTTGATATTGGCCATCATTTTTGGAAAGCTGTTGGCCATTATCTCTTTATGTTTTGCTGCCCTGTTCTCTCTTTTATTTTCTTCTGGAACTCCAGTTAAACTCCATTAAACTCAATTGACATTGGGTTTTGGATGTTTGGGGGGGTTTTCCCACACTTTTTCTCTTTATATTTCTATTTGGGTACTTTAATTTGGCTTTCTTAAAATTCACTGCTCATTTCTCTCATTAAGAAATCTTTAATTTCTGATACTGTATTTTTCATTTCTAACATTTCCTTGTGATTGATTTTCTTTTATAGTTTCAGTGTTTATGATGAAATTCTCCATTTCTATGCATGCTGTCTGTCTCTTCTGTCAGATCCTCTAGTGTTCTTATCAGTTATTTTAAAGTTGGTATCTGGCAGTTCCAACATCTGGGCCCTCTCTGATTTGATTATGTTAATGATTTCATCTTTTGACTGTGATTTGCTACTCCCTCTGTCTTGTAAGTTTTGATTGAATACTGAATAAAAACAGTACAGATCGATGTAAGTATTATTTATCTCCAGAAAGTGGGCATTTCTTGTTAGTCTGATTGATAGATAGTGGGGCTAAGTCAATAAGATGAATAATTGAGCTAGTTCTGGGCTTTTTTGCAAAATTTCAGTTTGATTTAGTTCAGCTGTTTTGAGAGCAGAGTTGGGACTTGACTTTCTGCAAGATTTGTTGTCTGGTTGTAATTTCAGCTATCTCTTTGTGCTTTATATCAGAGCCATCAGCTTTTCTGAGCTCTGGATGATTTCTCTGCTGTACAGCCCAGCTGTCAGTTCCTTGGTCATTCCGGAGTTCTTTTGTGCCTATTGTGATACCTCTCTACCAGTAATATCTTCGGGTTTTCTTTCTGCAAATCTTCCCTCCTCCAGCCTTGGTAGTTTTAATATCCAGAGTATCTGGGTAGTTTTTCTCTCAGCTCTCCTGTCCCACCTCAGCCCTTGGCAGCAGCTCTTCTGTCCCACCTCAGCCCTTGGCAGCTGAATGTCTGGAGTTTTTTGGAGTGATTTCCCTCATTTCTTCCCCACCCCCATCAGAAGACAGTCTCGTTGCATTTTAGGGAGACCACACGCTTCTTAGGGTATCTCTTGGCTTTCCAGCCCCGTCCTCCATCCAGCCTTTGGCATATTTTGGCAAGCACTTGTGAAGACCCGTGGGAACGAGTGGTTGGGGTAGTGCAGGTTTGCTCTGTGAAATCTAGAATTCTAGTATGTCTTGCTGTTAAGATTTGTTAAAGTTTAGCCTGGTTTCTTTTAACCCTTATCTGTGGTGGAATTATTCCTCCTTAGCCACTCCACCAGTGGTCAGGAAAGAGACCATCAGTGAGCCTCCTTTCTGTCCAGGCTCAGCACTCTCTGGAAGTTAGTTCCACGTAGGTTATTTTGTATCCTTAACTGTGATTTTTGCGGCTTATCTGGCTTGTTTTTATTAGGGCGAAAGTGGTGGTGGTCTGTTGAGACTTTGTACATCCTAATTAGAAGGGAAACTTCTCATGGAATGCTTTTTAGTATATTGTCTGGTAAATACCTAATAAAATTTCATTCTAGTTGATTTTCTATAGTATTTTTCAAAGCTAGGTTTCTGAATATTTTTTATCTCAAATCTTAACTCTCCAGTTCTGTCCTCAAGTGGTAAATGATCTTGTCTCATTTTGAGATTAAAGTCGTCACCATTAAAATTAAATTGAGGGGCTTTTGGAGAGTGCGGGAAGAATTTGTGGTAGGTGGATAAAAAACGGCAAATGGAAAACTAAGATAATTAACTCTGGGGAAAAGAAAGTTGTACAAAAAGGGAAACATGATTATGTAGTAGTTTATTACTAATCACATCAAGTACAAAACTACAAGTGGGAGATAATTGTCTTTGAGGTTAGAGGAATGTGAATGGTGGTGGTGTAAATCCTCATTTTCCATAGAAAAATCAATAGATAATACCTAAACTTGATATTTCAAAGGATACCATTATAAGCCGATTACTGTAGTCCCCCTTATGTCCACGGGGAATACGTTCCAAGACCCCCAGTAATGTCTGAGACTACAGGTAGTACTGAACTCTATATATACTGTGTTTTTTCCTACATATACATGCCTATGATAAAGTTTAATTTATAAATTAGACACAGCAAGAGATTAACAACAATAATTAGTAACAAAATAGAATTATAACAACATACTATAATAAAAGTTATGTGAATGTTGTGTGTCTGTCTCTCTTTCTGATAACCAATGTAATAACCAAAATGGCTAAGTGACTAACGGGCAGGGAGTGTATGCAGCATGGAGATGCTGGACAGGGAGGGGTGGTTCATGTCCTGGGTGGGACAAGGCAGGACAGTGACAAATTTCATCACGCCACTCAGAAGAGTGTGCAATTTAAAACTTATGAATTGTTTATTTCTGGAATCTTCCATCTAATAATATTGGACCGCGGTTGACCGTGGGCAACCGAAACCATGGAAAGTAAAACCGAGGATAAGGGGCGGGAAGGGGGACTACCGTACTGATTTATAAATAGCAAGATTAAATAAAAGTTAAAAGAATTGAACTTGGTGTGAGAAGAGCAACTATATTTGTCTGTACTCACTATGCACATTATTACTTAAATAAAAATGAAAATACATTTTTAAAAAGAGGCTTAATTAAAAGTCTTCTCAGGGGGTGGTGAAAGTGAACCAGACCTTTTCTTCATGGACTTTATTTCTTTATTCTTGTTTACTTCACAGTTGATTTTCTTTTTCCCCTTCATATAACTTCAGATTTTACTTTATGAACTAAGTCAGTTATGAAAGTTTAAAACTTTAGAGATGGTGGGCTTGTAAATTTTTTAAAAAATATTTTTATTAAGTGTTTTGAGAATAGATCGAGGTTCTAAAATGAGAAAAGTTTTTTTAGTGAAAATATTTTAATTGTCGATACTGTTAAAGTAGTGTTGATAATGATAAACTGGTCCAGTGATGATAAAAATTTTACTTGCAAAATTATTATGTTTTCCTACTTATTGTCTTTTTGTAAAAGAGTTTGTTTCTATGTTTCATTTAAATTAGTAAAGACATTTTCATGGGTGAAGTAGAGAACTTAAAAGTCTGTTGTAAAAGTAGTAATTTGAATTTCTGTCTCATTTTATAATTTGCTTTCCATACCATGTTGAAATTGCTACCTGATTTTTAAGTTAGCCTCTAAATTATCTTTTCTGTATCTTTTCTAGGTTAGATAAAGGAGGATATTTTCTTAGTGTGGATTGCTGCCTTTGGTAAGAGCATGTCGTCCATCTTGCCATTCACTCCACCAGTTGTGAAGAGACTGCTGGGATGGAAGAAATCAGCCGGTGGATCTGGAGGAGCAGGCGGAGGAGAACAGAATGGACAGGAAGAAAAGTGGTGTGAGAAGGCAGTTAAAAGTTTGGTGAAGAAGCTAAAGAAAACAGGACGATTAGATGAGCTTGAGAAAGCCATCACCACTCAAAATTGTAATACTAAGTGTGTCACCATACCAAGGTAAGTGCTGTTAGATCAGAAAAATTGGTGGTCATACTGTTGAAAATTGCTTAAAGGAATCTAAAGGAAAGTTTTGAGATTTCGTTACTTTCAAGTCAGTCACCTGTAACTAGTGATTATTAAAATATGACAGCTTTTTTTAGCTTGATGTATTAATTTTGTTTTCCTAGTTTAAACTTGTTTATTTTACAAATCATATTCTTAGACAGTGAGGTTTAATCAAGCAAAAAAAAAATACTTAGATTGTATTGTTTTAGCTTCATTATTTTATCTTGTCTTCATTGATCTCTGTTGCTTAAGTATGTTATCCTAATTTCTGTGACTGAATGACATTTAAATAAAGAGTCAATGCTTTTTCTGTCACTAGTGCAGTAGTAATTTTCTCCCCCGCCTTAGTCAAATCTTCAGTCAGTAGGGAGTTCAAAGAGGCTGCTAACTTTGTGATGAATTATATATTTTTTTTATTTGAGTTGCAAGCATTACTTCCAAGAAAAGAACACTATGTGAGGCAGCTTCTCAGATGTTGTTATAGTTAGTCAGACCTTTCTTGAAGACCTATCTCTGTATTGGAAGGATCTATTACTTAAGAGGTTGAAGTTTTATTATTGTAATTTAATCATTTATAAATAAGTACCACTGTCAGAAATACTGCTTTTTAATAATAATAATAATAATAATAATAATAATAATAAACCAAGTGGTTAAATGTTTCATTACTTTTTGCGTGCATTACAGGGGTTTTTTTTTTTAGGAGTGTAAGCACATAGCATTTTTTAAAAGAATTGTTTGCAGTGTCATACACATGGGCTTGCATATAGCACATGAAACCTTTCTACTTGATGTATTTCCAATGAGCTTTGGGAACTATACTCTGAATGTTTGTTGATAATAGATCCAATAACACCAGCCTATCTACTTGCAAATACTAACAGTAGAATGTTTTCTGCTTTGTTTGGTAGATTAATTATTCATTTCTTTTACGTTACTTGTTTCATGTATATCTTAAACGTTGCTTTTCTTCTTGGTTTATTTATTTTTTTTAACAAACGCTAATAAGTGCCTCCCGTGTGCAAGGCACTGTTTCTAGACACATGGAGATACAGTGATGAACAAAACACAAAAGTTCCTGCCCTCTTGAGGGATAGATGTACCTGATAAACAAGTGGACAAATTAATATAATTTGAGATGATAATGAGTACAAAGAAGACAATGACTGCGGGATAAAAAAGCTGCTTTGGATCAGATTGTGATGCTTAAGCTAAGCGGTGAAAAGTATCGTCTAGGCACAGGAAAGAACCAGTGTAAAGACGTTGAGTTTGGAGATACTGTAATGGAGGATTTAAAAGCCCAGTAGAGATGGGCATTTTAGGTCATTGTGGGAGTTTGAATTTTAGTCTAAATATAATAGAATACAAATAAAGATTTTAAAAATGGATTTCTAAAATTTAAATCACTTTTAAAGGATTCTTTTACATTTTATAGAGATCACTGGCTACTAGAGGAGACAAATGGTGGGGGCATGTGGTGTATGTGTAATGTCTGTGTGGGAAGTAATAATAGTCAAAGTAGCAGCAGTAGTAGAATGGATGGTGGGTCTGGAAGCAGAGAAATCAGGAGACTATTACAATAATCTAAATGAGAGATGCTGCAGGCTGAACTGTGGTGGCTGTGCTAACATGTTTAGAGGATGGACTGGGCCTGTGGAAGTAGAACTGATAGGACTTGCTGATGAATCAGCCAAGAATAAATCAAACTATTTGTTAATTTTTCATGGTGTAGTACCAGCATTTCAGTTCAGTTAACAAACACCTACTACATATGTGTTAGGCTCTTCCTCATTGGAGTTAAAATACACGCAGCACCTTGAGTTGTTTACTTTCTAGTAAGAGAGATAAACTTTAAAAAATAAAAAGGATAATTTTATAAGGCACAGTAGGTATTATGAAAGATGTTTACTTAGGGAACTATGTCCAAAGGCGGGAAACTGCCTACTTTGTGGCCTGTGAAAAATTTCCTTCTGGAGAAAGATGAGTGCCTGGATTGAACCTTGTTGGATGTAAAGGAGGAATTTAGGAGAAGCCCATTTCATCCAGAGGGGCACTGTGGTATTTAGAGTGTGGCGTTAGGAGAGGACCGGTGTAGTGTTCTAAGTGAGCTTGTGTCCTGGCCATGTGAAATGAGAGGTGAGACTTGGGAGGAGTGAGTCTGTGCAAGTAGTAAGGAACCATGGCATGCTGTCCTGGGAAGTTCATACTGCACCTGAGTATGATTGGGTGAGGGTGGAGTCACTGAAGAGTCTTAGGTAAAGAAGACTCATAAAACAAATTAATTTTAAGTACAGCATCTGGCTGCAGCGAGGAAAATGGTTGCGAGATGGAGGGAATGGAGGCAGTTAGTCTGTTATCCCCCTCATCAGAGGGATCCAAGAAGACACAGGGCCGTGTTTTTGTTCAGCTTCACCTAAGGCTCAAATTGCTATTGCAGTGTGGATATTGACAGAACAGACCCTGAGAGGAAAGCTATGCCACCATATCCTTTAGGGAGACAGACACGGTAGGTAGCAACTACTGATTAAAACTTGTAGACATGGGTATCTAAACTATGGAGGTCAGTTTAGTCAGATTTTTCCCCCTTGTTTTCCGTTCTTCTTATAGCCTATTAGAGACTTTTTGATATTCTACCACTTTTTCACCATTAAAAAAATATTTTTCACGCTTTCACCTGACTAATGAAAGTGAAGTAGTTGTCCATTATCTTGTTTTTCACTATCCAAAGTTCCCTGAAGCTTGGAATCTTGCTAATTTTATGTTTCTTTATGTTGTAAGAAATGTGGATTTGTTAATATTGGCTGTTGTCTATCAAAAAATTTAAGCTTCTTACACTACAGTTTGGTGCCATGTATTTTATTATTTGCTTTGTTTTAAGTAGAACAGTTACATTGTATCAAATTAGTAGTCATTTCTTAACTACTAAATGTCCTTAAAGATTCAGTCAACTCTTAATTATTTAGACCGTAAAGGGTGGGGAATGAGGTGGAAAAGGTCTGTTAAGGATAAATCCAAACCATAGTTTAAACAAAATTGTTTCAAATGTGATATAAAATAGATTCAATGTAAGCTCATTTACTTAGAATTGCAAGTTGTTAATAAAATACCTTAAGGTTTTACAAGCCTAAAAGCACATAAGTTCAATTGATGAAGAACATGAAACATAAATTTCTTAATTTAAAAATAAGGCAAATGTTTTCCAACAAAGGATCTGTTTCATTGACTCTAACTCCCCTGGAGCCTGTACCTCCTAATGTTAGAGTGGAAGTAAACTTAGGGCGGAAACAGTCCTGGCTCTTTATCCCTCTAACCTGCCTTCGCATAATTACTCCACTTTTCTAGCTTTGTTTCTGAAAGGATAGAAGCCGTTGTTACACTTATAGGTCACTGCTTCCTTCCCACTGTTGGATGTGGTGACATAAAGTGATTCATGGGTAGAACTCCTATTAAGCTGCAATGAACTGAATAAAGTTTCACGAAGCTTTTCCATCTCAAACATTTTCGAGACTGAGGAATGGAAGACTACTCAGTTGTAAAATCAGAATGGCAGTTGATATTTAGGCAGTGAATCAGAAGAAAAATGGCTTTCAATGCATATTTTCTATAGTAAAGCAAAAATTGAAACTGTGGTGGGGATGGAGACTCTAAAAGCAAAGGCTTGTGGTATCTAAAACGGCAATTTCATGTTCAGGAATGTAGAATTTATTTTCATAAACATAAATTATAAGGGCTTTCCTAAGGTGGTACTTTGACCTTGTAATCACATTTTTGATCTTACATCCTAAGGAACAATCAGGAATATGGTTAAGACTTCTGATGTTCATTTCAGTAGTGTCTATCACGGCAAAGATTTAGAAAAAAAACCAATCTAACCCACGGTTTCCTTAACTCCAATAAAGGAAACTTACCTAACTCATTTTATACCAGAATTGAGCATGAATAGGAAAAGAAAAGTTTGTACTAGTCTTACGAGAATAGATACAAAAAATATAAATGTCAGAAACTAATTATTCAAAACAAAACCACAAAATTATGACTAGGTAAGGTTGATTGAAGGAATGAAAGTTTCAACTACAGAAAATCTATTAATATGAGATACTTCATATTTAAGAACTCTGATATCTCTATAGATCTAGAAAGAGCTTTCTATAAAATTCTGTATTCCTGTTAAATTAGAAACAGGAATTTTCTTAATTTGATAAAACATACTTCTAAAAATGTTAATCATCAAACTTCAGAGAGAAATACAGCAAATTGTTATATAGTGGTTATTTATAGATGACCTAAAAATAAAAATGTCCTATAATTTTTTCTAATATTTAATATAAAAGAAGGCAGCACAGTTAAATGTTTAAATGGGACTTTTGGGCAGTACTTAGACTAGTCTTGTCTTTACCTTTTGTTCCCTCTGAAGTCAATTTTTCTGTTAAAGAACAATTGTATATTTACTTCCTTAACATTCTTTTAAAATATATCTGTTTTTGGTTTCGAAAAGTGCATTCCTTAGAAACATTAATATATGTACATGATTCAGAAATGAACCACAGGTTAATACAGTGAAAAAGTGTCTCCCTGCCATCCCTGTTGTGACCTGTCTCATCACCCAGTTTTCAGAGGTAATTGTATTACTAGCGTCTTATGTATCATTTCAGGATAATGTGTTTCTTTTTAATACCTTCATTGACATTTGAATTTTGTTTGCTATCTTCTAAATTTTTAAACATCAGAGCAATTGAAGTAAACTTCATGTAGATTGTCAACTTTTATTTCTAATTTCATATTCCTACCCTTTTACTTCTCTAGATAACCTAGAGAGAACTAAAGAGAAGTCTTTTTAAATCCAAACTATGATATCCTTCAATTCTTCTTAAACAAGTGCTTTTTCATTATTTCAGAAGAGAGTAAAAATAACTCAGTTATACATTGATATAGATATGTCTGTGTGTATTTTT